TTTATTGTTCAACATTTCACAACGCCAACCTCAAAACAAGAATCCCAAAAGGCCAAGAAAAGGAAAGATGCAATCTCTTCCTTCAAAATTTCTAAAATACTTTAAATTGATGTGTCAGCCCCACACTTCCCAAATCTTAGCACTGACAACAGGGAAAAAAACAAAGAACCAGTCTCCAGCATCATTCATGCCTGCAGCAACACAGCAAGGGGTAAATGCTCTTGCAGAGGAAACCTCTTCTCTACAGGGAGCTCTGCCAGATGCACTCTCCCACAGTGATCCACAAGAGTTTAGGACAAAGCCACCTCAAGCTCCATGTCTTTGCTGTCCCTGAACTGCTCTGCTATAGGGGTGGTGATTTTTCAGCAAAGAGATGAATGAGTAGCTAAAAATTGACACTGTCAGAGGACCACTGTTCAATCCCTCTGCAGAGTCTCTCCAGCCTTACTGGACTACTTTATGAACCAGACATTCCTTTGGCATCTTCTACCTAAATACTGTGCTGTTGACTCTTATTCAGTCAGTTCACAAGGCCCATGGATGCCAAAGGAGCTGGTGTAGATGGCAAAGCACACCTTGGAAATTCATTATTTTTTAAACTGTATCAAACCAGGACAGAACAAAATCCCCCCTGGATGTGTCCTATTTCTGTCAAAGCCTTCCAAACCACAGCCAGGTTCTCCCCCTCCCTCTTTCACAAAGCACATTCCCTCATCGTTACCTGGCAGCTGATAAAAGTCATCGCGCGAAATACAAACCGATTTGAGGTTTATTTTTGTCAATGATATTTAATTATCATTTCAAAGGCTAATATCTAGAAACGTAGGCAGCCTCCTGAGCACACCTACTCTGCTCAGAGGAATCCTTTTTGTGCAGCACTCTACAAGGCAAAAAAGGAAAAGAAAAAACAACAACAACAGAAAACCCCAAAACAGATTCATCTCCAAATTAACCAGTAATTGTAACAGACAGTGACCTGCAGCCTGGTATAGTGGAACTGCACTGCCAGGAAAATAGCTGTCTGGTGGAGACATTAATTCCTGGGATGCCAATTCCTAGGTCTCTAAATGTGATATGCCACCTACCAAGCAGCAAAGCCCAGTACAAGTACTCAAGTACATCTATAAGGAGATTTTTCATTTCCACTTGCAACATGAAAAGATTTTTATTGGCAGTAGGAATGTATTATTTACAAACAGCAAAACAACAGTACAACAGCAGTTGTAACAGTTAACAAGTGCCAATAAATCTCTAAAGGTGCACACCTTTACTAATACTGTTTTTGCCAAATTTCTGGGATAAAGAGCATTTTGGACTGAATGCAGTAACAAGTTATGTACAGATTGGTATCTCGGGATCAAAATGAGCATCGGAGACTGTTTTTACGGGTACAGGCATCCATTCTCACACAACGAATTGCACAAATAAGGGCTGAAATGAGACTGAAATGTGTCTCACAGGAAGGGCATTTCATATCTACCTACAAAGCCAGAACATCTTGGCTAGGAGTGAGAAGAAATGTAGGCATGTTTTTTTAGAATTTCCAGAAATTATTTAATTTCTTTTATGACTCAAGATGCCCAAGAGTAGAGATACTGAAACAACCAGCTAAAGCAAGTGAGTGATGTTATTTATTGGGAAACTCAATGGGCAGTTGTTCTTGGGCTGTAAAATGAGCTTCTGCTTATATTCATAGACTCCCTCCCCTCCCTCCTTCAGCAACAGCTTTTGCTTAATTCTGGATGGCAACAAAGTGTAGCTTTTACCTTCAACTTATCTTAATCCATAGCAGAGAGAGAAGAAAAGTTTTGTTTCTTTCTTTTTTTTTTTTCTTTTAATATCCAAGCCTGGTGGATTTCTCATTTAAAATCTGACTTCTTGGAACACCAGCAGCAATCCCTCTCTGCAGATAAAAAGAGCTTTCATACAAAATTAAGATGTAGTTTACAGTGTATTCCATAGAATAACAGTAGGGGCTCAAAAAACACATTTGCTCACTGACTACTGAAAAGAAAGATTTCATTGTAACTTATGCCATCAGCTTCTGTCTGGTCTAAGAGTTCGATAAAAGCAAACAAACCAAATAGCCTCAAACCAGCTGCACTAAATTGTTTTCCAAGCAGGAGCTGAATTTAAGCAAAGACTGCAGAGAAGCAACCCAAATGCCTTTGCTATTGCTCCTAAAACTTTGCCAGCAAAGTGACCTTAAGCAGTAATTCTGGCAAGATTTACAGCTGCAATTCAGAAGTAAAACATGGTGCTGCTTTGGAAAGTTAAGTGTTTGGGTCTCGGTTTTTCTTTTGCTCACAAAAAAAAAAGAAAAACAAAAGGGAGACACCAGGAGTCATCTATGTTTGGAAATCAGAGAAGACTCAGGAAAAAGAAAAAAGAGTGGTTTTGTTGCACATTTCTCTCTCACATCCAACGATCTGAGGAGCCTACAAGAAGCCAGGTGGCTTCAGAGCTGAGAACAACCACAGAAATAACCATCATCTTTCCAGCAATGGGAAGACTCTGCAGGACATTGAGAAACTCTGAATCTGCCTATCCACTACACAGGTGTAAGAAAAGGCCTGCCAAAAGAGGGTTAAACCCTACAGATCCTCTCCTCTCCACTCCTCCTGGTGCTCCAAATAAACCGCATAGAGACGGTGCTTGCAGCTAATGTGGGACCAGGTGGGAAGAACAGAACTCAGTAGCACTATCATAAACACCAAAATAAGTGGGATTGGCAAGATTTTGAATAAGAAAATTCTGTATTTATATAATTAATTTTCCTGTGAATCTTGTTAGTCGAAATCAATATATTAAGCATGCTGAATGACTTGCAGTGAACAGCTCAATACTTTCTTCAATTCTGGAAAATACAATTCTATAAAGAGTTCAGACTTGACCTAAAATTGGCTTGAATATTGGCCTTAACACTAAAACATTTTGAAAAGTCTCCATTCCCAAATGATAAAGTACCATGTTTGAATATAGGAGGGGAAACCTGAACCCCAACTCAAAAGCAATACATAAAACCAATACCTAAGTCTCTTATTAAAAAGTTCTACGAATTTCAGAGTATGTTTGTATAGAATGGAGTTTGTTCAGGTCTGAATAATCAGTAAGAATTGACTGAATTAAAATCATACACAGAAAAACTCAATACATTTTCGTTGGACAACATGGTATCATGGAGTGCAATTAGTGACCATGAAGTAATCAAGTTTGTCTCTCGTGCCTCTCATCTCCTTGCTGGAGCAGCTTGCAGCAATCTGACACTCTGAGGTGCCTGGTGGATATAGAGACATTTTCACAGAATCACAGAATATCAAGAGTTGGAAGTGACCTTGAAAGATCATCCAGTCCAATCCCCCTGCCAGAACAGGATCACCTAGACCAGGTCACAAAGGAGACTGGATTTTCTTCCAGCTTTTATGCTCAAATGGAGCTGATTGTAACAACACTGGAAAACCTGAGTGTGAATGTTTTTAGACAGTGAAAACTAACCAACCATATTGCATTTCTTAGAAAATAAGCTCATATAAGGGCTTGTTGAGATTGGTTTATACTAATCTGTGCTGAAAATTATAATACTGAATTTTATACATCTTTTCTATATATAAAGATCAGTAGTAGGATTTTACTGGATTCATTAATACATATAAAATCAAATTCAAGCTATGCAGTTGCTGCCATCATTTATGTCAGCAATAATTTACAGGTGTTCAATGTTTGCAAATAAACTTAATTGAAAACTGTAAATCAGCATATACTCAAAATGCATATCAGCATCCCAAGACAACAGAAGGAATTGAAGATGAGCAGCCTTCTGCAACTGAAAGCTTTTTCCCAGCTGACAAACAGGAAAAGTTAGTGACTCAGCTCACTCAGATTTCATAATAACCTTGTGCATTAAGTAAATGAGTATTTCACATATACCTAAAGTGAGCATACATAGCATTTCATGTACAAATAACTTACATGGCCTTGTTGTAAACAGCCCTAGTATCACTCAAAGAAATGCCAACTAAGAAAAAAGAACTGAAAAGGTGAAGGAAATGACGGTGGGAAACCAGAAGATGAACCAAATGCGTAGCAGGAGTCTTGCTAGCATTTTGCCTCTTATTAAAATCAAATCAGTTTAATATCAGAATTATAAATTGAACAAACAGTAGGTGGCCTTACCACCCTCAAAGTCATCATATAGATCAGGAATTACTTGCCTGAAGGAAGCAAGCAACAGTCGAAGTTAACACAGCAACTGTGTGGAGAAATAAGGAAGAAAAAAAATCAAGAGAGAAAGGCTCCTCATTAGTCCCTTTAGCTCCCTGACATGGGTACCACATGTGCACATTCATGCTGTAGGTACAACAGCCAAAAAAAACCAGGCAACTCCAGGCTCAACATAGTCTGTAGGGTTGCTGCATGTTCTGCATGCCCAAGGTTCTCCCTGGCTCTGGGTGTTCCCAGAAGCTTTCAGGTTGTGGGGAAGAAGGAAGAGGGCACGCTGGCAATATGTATGTGAACAAGCTGTTTCCAAGGCAGGCGGGGGCTGCTCTCTTCCCCTTTCTCTGTGGAGCACTTCCCTGCACGCACACCCACACCTCACCAGACTCCCAAGCATTCTCCTCTGCAACATCACCCTTCACCTGATGGTCTCCAAGAGCCTCCAACTGGGTAAAGACCAAGACTTGAAAAGAAGTCCATGGGGTAGACCCATGCACCTCTTGAAGCAACCTTTCCATCCAGGCAGTCACCAGTGTCACTTGAACCATGGCTGGACCAGACCAAGGGCAGGCAGAGGGGGCAGACAGCTAATATCATCCTCCTTTTAGGGACGTCCTGCCATCCTGCCACCACTGCCCCTCTTTCTGGTGCCAAGGTTTTCAATTCCCACCCTCTTCACACAAAGAGCCAGCACAGATAAAACTACCAAACTATGAAACACCCTTGTGAACTGGGCAACTGCTGAATTTCATGCAGACAGCTTTAAAAAAAACCAACAAACAACAAACAATAAAAAAGGGTATCAAATTAAAAGAAAGCAAAGCAGGTAAGAACAAAGCCCGTGATGAAGTCATGGAAGTGACTCATCTCAGCCAGTGACCAAGGAGAGCAGCAGAGTTAGGACTTGAACCACCCACTTTCACAAAAGAGTCACCAAACAATATGCCTGTTTTTACAAACACTGCTGACAAAAACGCTGGCATATTGAGTTGTGTTTCCCCAGCGCGTTTTGTCTATGTACAAGGGGTATGCGCAATGCTTATTCCTCTGGGTTTGATGCTTTTTTTGCAAGGACAGTTATGTACTTTTCTGAAACCTCTCTCTGCAAAATGAACATAGGTTTTCAAAGTTAAACACAGTATGTGATCTGAATTAAAGGCAAAAATGTGCAAATAGCATTGAGTTGTACATAGGGAATATTTTCAGGTAGCAGATGCAAGTCACCTGAACGGGATCCTTTGAAGTCAGATGCGTTTCCTTGGAATACATAATTTCCTTCCCCATGTAATTCCTCACTGTACTCCTCTTTCTTGTAATTTCTTAAATCTCTAAACAGTTTAGTCGGTATAGATGTGCATAATATTTTTTTAGCCCTGACTCATGAGTTCCACCATATTTTAGCTTTAACATAAAGCTTTTGTTCATGACTTAAGTAATGAGATAGCTAAGGATTAAGAAAAAGCTATCTGTCTGTTTACTGAAAATATTTTCCAACCTATAGAGGAAACAAAAGCAGTCAAATGTATTCCTCAGAACAAGTTTAACATTTTTCTGTTAGAAAATGGCATTACTTTACACAGAAGAATGAAACTTCTTCACATAGCAGGGTACCACACACGCCATACAGAAGTGTGCCTTTGCTGGAAAAAAACCCCAGTGCACTAGTCTGCACAGCAGGATGTATCATTCTACCTGAATTTGATAATCTTACTTCCCCCTTTCTCTCATGGGCTCTTTTCAATATTTAAATATTTAAAGTAGGATGGCATAAGGCAGAACAACTATAAAATTATTAATAGTTCAAAATAAGGTCCTAAACATTTCGGTGCAGGCAATACTGTAGTGTTTCTCACTGACAAAAAATCATTCACAAAAGCTGCACCAAAACTTTCCACTGGTGTGAAGTGATGAGTTTCTACCAAATTAACAGGGAAGTGTTCTAGAAGCAACCAAAACAAACAATCTGAGAAACAAACTTCAGCATACTCACACAACATACCATCAACCTGTTCAGTGAACAGATTTTACTTTTTATTTTTTTTTAAAACAGAGAAAAGTAGGTCTTGCAGGAGTCTCGAGAGATACCCTGTCCATCTGCCTACCTCAAAGCAGAACCAATTCTGCTGTAACTGTTCCTGATAAAGGTTAACATGTTCATAAACACTTCTGAAAGTGTGGAATACACAGCCACTCCCCAAGCAACCTATGCCAGTGCCAGACTGTTCTAAAGCTTTTTTTCCTAAAATTTGAACTAAATCTTCTTTGCTCCCATTGCACTATTTCCTTCCTCTGAGGTGGAAATGAGGTGGTTCATACATCCCCCATTTTTCCCTTCCCTCAGCCATTTTCCTCTACCATAAACAACCTCATTTTCTTTAACCTTTTCTGCTAAACCATGTTTTCGAGACCTCTAACGAATCTTGTCGTTCTCTCCATAACAATCTTCATGTGCCCCTCACTATTCTTGAAGTGTGACGTCTAAAACAAGTTCCTGTGCACAGTTAGAGACTGATCGTTTCCCACGGTGTTCTATTGCAAATTTTAAAACCATCACAAACCTTTTCCTCCTTCCTGCCCCAAATTTCTACTGGTACACAAGATGGCCTACCAAGTGCTTAAGGAACATGCAATGCAAGCGTCTGCACCGCTCACCTGTTTCTGAGATGTGCCGCCAGGTCACATCGTTGCATGACTTCCTGGCACACCGAAGAGAAGGGGCACAAAACAAACAGCTTGTCTAGCAGTTTATGAACAAGAATGCTGGATTTTTTGCAGAGTTTAAAATGGAGTCTTTTTCGATCCAGCGGGCAAAAATCCTTCTCCTGCAGGAAGTTCCTTAGGCACTTGTAGCAGAAAGTGTGTCCACAGGGAGTGTCCAATGGCTGCAACAAGGGCTGAAGGCAAATGTGGCAGACCAAGTCATCATCCACTTCGTTCTGGTAGTTGTAGAGGTGGTTCTCCCTTGTCCAGTGCTGCTGGCCACACTCGAAGCACAGAGGGTTCAAGGAGGCGTTCTGCTCCACCGAGGCCATGTCGTCACCTGTAGACCCCATTATACAGCTAAGAAGGCTGGCAGATCCTCCACCTCCTACTCCTCATAAGATGAGGTTGCTCAAGTAAAGCTCAGAGGGAAACAACTTCTTCCAGGGTGACTCATGCTCTTCAGTCAAGTGTCATTTTCTGCAACAAAGAAATAAAAATCATTACTTTTGCATGAATTATGCAAGTTCTTACCAGAGCCTTTGACTTTTTCTGGGTTTACCAAAACACAACAGCTAGATAAAGAGAATACTCCTGTTTTCTGTAAATTTTTCATAGAAGAGAGCCACAAAAAAAAATGCAATTCCTTTTATAACAAACATTTTACAGCTTTGTAACAGCTGCTGCACTGCACAGTCTTCACCTGCAAGATGACCAGTTTGTGACAGCAAGGACACCGCATTATGCAGTGTCACACCAGAAGTGTGCAATTAGCGTCTAGCACAAAAATACCCTATTGTGGAACAATGGTTATGTGACCAAGTAATTAAATGTGTTCTTTAATATGAGATTAAGATTTTAATCCGATCCTACTCTGTTGTTTTTTTTAATTTTGACTATTAATGTAGAATATTACACATTACAGGTCTAAATGCATTGCATTAAAAATAAAAGCCACAAACCGCTTACCCTGTTCTTTCCATTAGTAATATTGCATACACGTCACCACTTACCTTCAGGTTTTCTCTGTGGGTTGCTACTCAGTAAGATGGGCTGATTCTGTCCAATATGCCACATTTGATTTAGTAAGGAGGCCAGTAATAAAATACAAAATAAACTACTCATATAAAGCTCCAAACAACTAACTTGTTTTGCTTTTTATCTAACAAAATTACAGCGTACTCAATGTGACGATAATCTTCTCAAAGGACTGTAGGTCTGTCACTGTGGAATTTATTTTCTAAACTTTATAGGTTACTAAAATTTGACCCTCTCAAAACTACAGCTATGTGGTCAGGAAACTGCAGCCATCAGTCTGCAATTTCAAACTCTACATCCATACCCCTCTCAACCTTACTTAACCCTTCTCTCCCTTGCAAAATCACACTGCTTGACAGTCATAACAGAATGATTTAGAAAATAACAGATTTTCTCACATTCTCGAGAGACGTCCTAATTCGTTAGTTTTGGTGTATGTTCTCATAGGGTTGGGGGGGGTCAAATTTGAGCAATGCTTACTTTGTGCCTCAATTCTTTACTGCAAGCAACACTCATGACAGACGCTTACTGTGTTCTAGCAGAGTAGTAGCAAGCGTACAGAGAAATGAAAACTGCTAGTCTAGGTACCAGCCCACCATCTTTATTTTTAGCTACTGAAATGCAGATATAAATGTATTCTGAAATTCATGTGCAACACACGCCTTTCACCACGTCTTACTATTAAAGAGAATTCCTGTTTTGGTTTTTGCCTCTCAACCTCACACAGTCAAGCACAAGACTTAGAGCACATTTTACAAGGATTATTATATCCTTTGACGCAAAAAGGATTAAATAGTAATTTGTAATCCATGCTTCTATCCTGTCGTGGAAATTGATGCTCATCGTTGCCCTTGCCTCGTAGTAGATAATGTGCACCTTCTGGAAAGGATTTCACAAGGGAAGAGCATAGCAGTTCTTTGTTACTAGAGACTAAGAATGCAAAATGAGACCCCAAAAGAGATTACCCAAAAAACAGTCTTAAATATATTACGTAAGAGTTCAAAGACTGGAGAGCAGATAAGGAGAGCCACACATGGGGCCCTCGTGCTCAAACCGCAGGGCTCTCGCTCTGCGTTCACGCTACTGGATTAACGCAGAGGGGATGAGACTCGTCTAACGGCTGTTCTTTATGTAATGCAAAATAAACCAGACAAAAGTTCCAGAAAAACATTGTACTTATTTGCAACTTCACCAAATGATTTTGCTGCTTAGGGTACCAGGAGAGGACCATTCAGCGCATGTGGTATCATATTTGGCAGTACTTGCAACACCAAGAGATAGGGCAGAAGAAGGGGGCATGCAACATAGGCAAAGAAAAGCATTTTAAGAGCATGTTGCCCAAACGCTAGACCCATTCCTACCATTGACTACAACCAGGATTCTTCCTCTTTCTCCAGGGATCATCCTGGATTCACCTGCTTGAAGGCTTGTAGCATTGCTATTCCTTGAAGTCTATGTGACTCGCATAGCAGTTGGCTACAGAGCATCAGGCAGTGTAACACAGTAAATATATCCGTGATACACTTGTTATGGTCAGATACCTGCACTCCTGTTTCAATTAAATCCTTTTCTGCGTTAAAAGCTTTTTTTAATAGCTTACAACACATTTTGAACAAAAAGTAAAATAAGAAAAGTTACTGAGAGACGAGACTTTCACTGCCATGTTCTAAATTATCATGACAAGCCTTCTTTCTTGGGAAAGGTATATCCAAATAAAAGCTCTATTTACTGAAATCAGAAGAGTTTGTGGTCAGGGAAACACGGGCAGTCCCTCTCTATTGCCCACACCTGAAGGAGGTGAGCAGACAGAGCTGTTGCTACAGCTGCCCCATGCCAGTGCCTTACTGCTGCTGGTGTGGGGACACCTGCTCTCAGCTGTGCCTGCTGTGGAGATGCCATGCCAGGTCAGGGGCAGGCTGCTTCTGCAGGCAGCTGACACTGCCCCTGACTGCTTCGCAGCACCGCCAGCGCCCTGCTAGTTTAACTCAACAATAAGTGCCATTTAAACTAACTCCACCATCTTCTCTGCAGCTGATGTAGCAGCCTTCCACCTCCTCTCTGCCAGGAGAGATGCGGGAGAAATAGTGGATCCAACCAACCAACAAAAAAATATCAAGATTACATAATTTTTGTGCTGCTGCCTGTGTCCTTCACTGCTGCGCTGCATTTGGGGCAAGACTGCTTCATGACTGAGGAATCAGTCACCAGGATTTGTATTGATTATATACCACAGCTGCCCAATTATCAATTCCAAGACTCTTTACAGGCAGTTCCCAGTGCAAAATATCAACTGATTTACAAAGTCCACAAACGTGATATCTGTGGACTGAGCAACAACTGGGATGGCAGGCAGGGTCTAAATTTCACTGCTATAAGGCAGTATATCCCTGAAATCCACAATAACAGAGCACTGCCATTTATAATATCCTACTTCAATCCCCTTCCTGCATCTCTTATATTATTTGCTGTCTCTCTTATCACTGCAACTCCACAGGACAATATCAGCTCAGGAAAGCTGCAAACAGGGGAAAAAAAAACAACAGTCAGAATTGTAAAAGATATAAAGTGGTAAAAGAGCCAGCCAGGCCTGTTATTCAAGTCATGTAATTCCCTAGGAAATAATTCTCCTGGGACTGCACTACAACAGCAGAACAGTGCAGGTGGTGCCCTGCTTTCAGTTTTAAATCACAATCCACTTGGGAACTGGGAAAGACTGGAAATCCAACTGTGCAATTTTTTTTAAATTTTATTTCATTTTAGACTGAAAAAAGACAGCCTTGTCCTTAGGCCTCCTCTAGTTCTGACTTACTGATTCAACTAACATTCTTTAGAGAAGCTTGACGCTTTTTCACAAACGTATAAGATGTCAGGCTTTATACCTACATCAGATTTCATGATGTTTATTCCTTCTGTCTGAATGGGCACTATAAAAAAAACCAAACCAACCCAAAACAACACAAAACAAAAAAACCACAAGCAAACTGGAATTACATCAGTAACTTAGACCTTTTACTATGGTTGTAATTTTAAATTTTTTTTTACATAAGTTTCAGTTAATGGAAATATGTGTTTTGCAATGAATACTCTCAGAGATTTAAGTAATCTATTTCTAAATTCCCTCATTACAGTCCTGGAGATTTAGAGCCCATTAAGTGACCATTCAAAATTTTACAAAAAAACATGACTATACCCCAGAAATAAACAACTACGGAAAATATCCATTAAAAAAATTTATATAGCACAATAAAAATTTAATATACCACAATTTTGTATTTGGTTTACTACCCTATGCAATTTCCTCAACTAAAAGCAAAGGTGAAAAGAACACCCTTTGATGCATGACACCCCTGCTCCTTTGCTAGGTCCCTGTATCCCAAAGCAGCTGGGATACAGATCTCTCAGTTCTGTGGCTAACTCTCTACACCAGAATGGGCATCTTCTTACTGAGATGTATCCAACCACTGAATCAATGGTTAATTTACACTGGGCAGCCTAAATCAACTGCAGGGGGGGAAATATCCCCCTCTATTTCCTCTCAATTCAAGGCCACTGTGTGCTGGCTGCTGCTTCTCATCCTTGAGGCCTCAAAATTTTGCTGCCTCCTGGCAGCACAGGGATGCCTCAGCACATCCCTTTTCTTATCCCTCCACAGTGGGGAAGGGGAGGGTATGGGAAGGAGCTGTGACAACTACAGTAAAGGTTTCATATGACCCTAAACTCAGGCAGTCATTTCCTAGTTAGCCAGATTTGTACTTGCAAGGCAACACATAACATAAATCAATCAATAACTCGAAACAACAGTACGGTCATCACCCTGGATTTCAGGAAAGGTTGGCTTCATTTTAAAACATCACAGGATTTCTGAAATCTGTTCTCTATGGCACCTGAGTGCCCAAGCTAGCTAGGAAGGATTTCATGGTGCCCAAATTCCCCTGCCTTGTTCCAATGCCAGGGCTGCAAACTGGATCGCTTAGCTGCCAGGAGTGGATCAACACAAGCCCCAGGAGAGGCAAACTAGACAGCGGTTACATCCATTGCTTAAAAAAAACATATCACAACCAATTAAAAATTAGGTTTTAGTTCCCAGTCCAGTATTCTTCACAGGAATTACAGCATAAGGCTGATGACTTGTAACTGTTTTCAAAGCAGATCCTAGCTTGAGTGGAAGAATAAAAGATAGCAGAAAGTGTAACAAAAAAACATTATAAGAATAAATAGCTGGCGCACAACACTAGAGGCAAAAACTATTATTCCACATCTTCCAATAAACGTGACCTAGCTCGTTAGATACAATCTCTGCTTTAATATTAAAGCC